AAAAAAAAGAAGAGCAACATCATACTAATTATTTATAGTCTTATAAATTGATCTTGTCTATTGTTATATAATCAATAATAATCTAACGTCAATTTGTTACATATGTACATAATGATTTATATATGAATAATTATATTGTACTATAATTTGATAATAAATGAAGAAGAAATCATTGTTCTCTAACAAACTTTTCTTTTTTTTTTTCGATAAAATTAGTTCTCGAACAATGTCAAGATTATTTCATCATATTCATTCTATTTAAATTACATCATGCATCTACGCATCACATACTCGAACCATATATTTTAATGGTACTTCCGACTAAATAATTATAGAAAAAGAAAAACTACGGATTCTTTTAATACGTTGATAGAACCCATCTATGATATTATTTAATAAAGAAACCATTTCTCTCATCAAAAGACAAAATAAGAAGATCTTTTCAGTCTCATCTGCTTCTTCAGGCATAAATACAATTTGATATTTAATGTTCAGTTAAACGTATGACATTTATAAAGGATTATTACTTAAGCGTATTTTATTATTAGAATAAAAATTTTCAAATGACCTTGCAAGATTTACGTGTCTTGTCTTCAATCAAATGCTTAGATTTGTTCATTATTTCCCATGATAATCACGTGTAAGTGAAGATGAAAAAGAAAAATAATTTAATTGCTATACACACACACACATACTCATTCCAACCGGATGCTCTTAAATTCTTTCTTTGCATGAATCTCTCTCTATTAATAAAAATTAAAGTAGAAAAGAAAACGAAAAAATAGACAATAATGTATTTTTATCCTATGTATGATGCAATAAAGAGCATACTAACATCATAATGATTCCTTTAAGTCTTTTGTTATTCAAAGGGAACACAAACATGCGAGAAAAGTGCAAGTGTCTGTCAACCGTACGTGCCTAAGATAAGCATCGAACAACTGAACGAGTAAGTAACCAAGAGTTAGTCAATTCTTTCTTATATTACATAGATGCTGATCGACAGCGATGATGATGACGACCGCAATGTTCAACATTAACATGTTCCAGCAACATAGTACTAGTAAAAAAAAAGAAAGAAAGAAAGAGAACAGCTAAGAGAGAGAGAGAGAGAAAATATATGTGTATGCCGCAAACTGAAGATGATTACGAAACAGACGGCAAGAAGAAAATGTGCTCAACACACGAGAGAATCGAGAATGCGGTTTGATGCATGTTATTACTTCTCTTTTTTTTCTCTACGAAGTGAAAATGGGCAACTAATCGGAACAATGAAGGTTTTATATGTTTTTATTTCCAAACTAATCAAGTATAGTACTATTTCTGCAAAATTCAGACAAAAAATTCTTCTTTTCTATTAGTTTATTCATTTGTTTATATTAGTCCTATGATGTATAATTCATCAATTCCTACATACTAGCAAGAAATCATATTGACAATGCCGAATAACAAATAATTATTATTGATTTCTGTTTTTTTTCTTCTTTCAGATAGATTATTTTCATAGTAACTGATGATGAAATGTTTTTCAATCTTTGTCTAATATTTTTTTTAAATATCTTTTTACGATCAATAAATGCCAATGGTGATGAATGTGAATTTTTAAATATGTGTAAATGTACAAATTTTCCACTTTTTGCAATATATGATACAAATTATTTAACTAAACCACGTTCATTATCAAATCAAGATCTTTTTTGTACATATTCAAGTGAATATTTAAATGAAACAAAATTAACAACATTTGATCAATTTAAATATATTTATTATCGTTTTCGTACTTTAACATTTGCAAATTATCCATTTATACCAACGAAAGCTTTTCGTTATATACAATTTGAAAGTCAAAGTGTTAAACAAACACATAAAACAAATAATCGAAATGTTATTGCGTTTGTTAATATTGAACAAACTCATTCAAGTATATTTGAAGAATTAAATCTATCAGATTCTCAAGAGCAACTTATAATATCATTTTATAATTCACCATCATTAATATATGGTAATGGAACACTTTCAAAATTGAATTGTTATGAATTAAAATTATCTAATACAAATTCAAAAATCCCAATTGATTTTTTTTATAATACAATTTTTATTTATCATTTAATTATTGATAATCCTTCATTTACCGGTTTTCTTCCATCATCAAATATATTTACATTTCAAGTATATAAAATTTCAATAAAAGATATCAGTATACGTTATTTACAAGGAAAACATTTTCCTATTATTTTTAATTCAGTTAAAGAATTAATACTTGAAAATTATTACGCACATGGTGGTTTTAAATCATTTAATAATCGAGAATTATCTCAATGTTTTCCAAATTTAAAATATTTAAAAATATTTTCACGTTCAATTCAACATATAACTAAACGAATGTTTGAACATTTAAATCAATTAGAATATTTAGTATTAAATGGTATAACAACAATTGAAAATGAAGCTTTTTTTAATTTATATCATTTAAAAGAATTAAATCTTGGTAAAGATATTTATCGTCTCGATCCATATGCATTTCTTCATATGACTACAAATTTACTTATATTAAATGAAAGTATTAATTTTCAATTAGATGATAATAAACATTTTTGTGTATTTGCTCAATTTTCTCCATTAACAAATTTAAAAACATTTATTAAATTTCCAAAAGATTTAAATACATGTTCATGTATTATACGTTATTTATATCGACATATTGATAAATCATTGATGTCATTAACACCATATTGTTATTCAAATTCAAGTTTATATGTTTTAGCACAAGAAGAACGTTTATGTTATTTCGAACAACGTTTACTTCAATGTCATGTTTTACCTGATGAAGGTATAACTATTTATGGTAAACATTATAACGTTTCATATTTTTATCAACAACAAACATCAAAACATCGAAATCAATTAACAATATTTTATCATTATCGAATATATATCATCATCATATTAATATTTATATTGATTATAAGTATAAGTTTCACTCTGTTTTGTATTCGACAACAAAAACAACGTAATAATAGTACATATAGACATTTAAATCGTTTATTAAAACGACCACGATTAAGAGAAAATGATAATGTAACAATGGATATTATCTATCATCATACAAATGATCATCCCGATGTTATATCATCAACAATACCTATATCAACTAAAGTTTAATTCAGAAAAAATTTGAATTATTATTTTATTATATATCTGAATTAATTCCAAAGAAAAAAAAAATAAAGAAAATACATTAATAGAATTATTTTCTCCTGAGTTTGTTTGTTGGTGTTTTTTATTAATTTAAATAAAATTAGTGTCATGAATTTTTAATTATTGAAACGACGTGAAGGTCGTTCATTAGCAGTTGTACGATTTTGATTATTATTAACTGATGGTGTTATACTTCGTCGTCCATTTAAATTTGCAGCTGCCGTTGCTCGACTAGTTGGTGATCGATATCGAGGATTAAATGGTTGAAATGTTGATGCAGTAACACGTGTAGGACCTCCAGCAAAAAACGGTGAAGTTGATGGAGCTGGTAATGCTCTTCAAACAAGAATAATTCATCAAAAAAGAAAAATTTCTAATCATATTTACAAAGGTTCACGACAACATAATCTGTTACTATCGACGAACTTTGACTCTCCAGACATACTATGCATAAGATTATTACCTTCTACAAAAGAAAATTGTTAATATTTTATCATCATGTATATATATATATATATATGTATAGTACCTTTACTAAGTTTGAATGCATCCATAAGATATTCAAAATGTTTCATTTTAGCTCGAATCAATGCTAATTCTTCTGATTGTTCACCAATAACCTGATTTTGATGATCAAGATAATCCATACAATTTTCTAACATCTATAAATTGTTTTTACTAAAATGAGATTTAAAAAGAATAATAATGTATATATGTACGTATTGATATTCTAAAACTTGTTCTTGTATATCCATTTGACCTTGTAATACTTGTCCACCTATTTGTGTAAGATGCTGAGTCTAAATTAACAAATAGAATTTTATGTTTACAATTAATTTCCATTTTTTCTTGTATTTTCATACCGCATGTCTTCGATCTTCATTTTCACCTTCAAGTTGTCTTAATCGTCGTTGATAAGCTTCATTTTGAGCATTTTGTGCTATATTCGATATCTGGATTATTTATTTTAAATAAATAGATGAAGAATTATCATTTCATAAAGTTAAATTACATACTAAATTCGATGCTGCTGCTGTATTATATGGTTGTAAAGTATTAGGTGTAGCATATTGATTTGTAAAAAGACTTGTCTGTTGACCTCCTTGTTGTTGAAGTGAAGGAAAAGGAGTACGTGGTTGTTGAGGAATAGGTGGTGGAAGATTTCCTAGATTTGTTCTTGTATTTATTGGTAAATTTGGATTATTTACAGTTGGTAAACCTGTTGGACCACCACCAAGAGGTATAGGTCCTGAACCTGTGCCACCTAGTGATGGAAAAGCAGTAGCTCGAGGCCATACACCAGAAGCAGCTGAAGGTTGTCCAGACATTATGTTTCTTCTTCTTCTTCTTCCAAAAAACGCCTACAAAGACTCTCAATAAATAACAACGTTCGCTATTTTACCTTCAAAGAAAAGATATATGTGTGCGTTCATGTGTATCGATAAAAAAACGATATATGCAGAAATACAAATCATATATTCATATAACGTGACTCATTCTGAAGACGTGATATTACCTTACAACATATAACATCACTTTTGATTATAGTTTACATCACGTGAAGCATGGCTGATGAATTTGATCCATTGAAACAAACAGATAATAAGCCACTGGAAGAATTATATGGTAGGATATTTTGTATTTAGTTAATAATTAATAAATTTTTTCTATAAATAGCAACAATACAAAAGAAACCAGTGCATAATGACGACGATCTACTTCGTCCTGAATATGAAAGTGTTTTGAAAAGAATACCTATCCAAACACCTGTGACACCTACGGAAAAACAATTACCACAAGATATTTATCAAAAACTTGATTTTATAAGTAATGCACCGAAAGCCCCAGTTCGTTCAACAAATCCATTTAATGATGAAGTTCAAAAATCATCATCATCATCATTATCATCCGCTGCAAGTCCTCCACAATCTCCTCCACCAAAAGCATTTACACCACCACCACCGCCAATAACACGAGCTTCTGAAGGGCAAGCATCATCATCATATTGGGACAATCAGGATGAACGTTATCGTAAGTATTCTCGAATATTTTTATTCGTTGTTCACTTTCTAATTTAATAAATAGATCAAGATTATGAACCAAGACCAGCACCACCACCATATTATTCCGAAGAATATTATGAAGATGACTCATCATATCGGAAAAAAAGAATTTCTGTAAACTTTTTTTTTGAAAACTTCGTATCAATAAACATAATTTTATATTTAGTCAACTATTGATCGTATTATTCAACGTTTTCCAGCTTTAGGTCTTTTCTATAAACCATCAACACCACCGGAGGTGTATGAGACTGAACAAGCACAAGAATATGTCGAAGAATATGTTGAAGATGATCAAGTACCTCAATTAGTCGATGCAACAACATTATCACGTGAATTAACAGCTGATGAATTAAGTTTGAATGAACGTTATTCAAATAAATCACGTACACAAATAATAAATTTACAAGTTAAAGATCAAACACAACCTGTTGATGTATCAATTCATCATGATTCATATACAATATATTCATGTGATGTTGGTCGTAGTGTTGTAGAAATATTTGATATGTATGGAAAACTTCAACATGTTATTGATGATAATACAACAACGAAATTTCAACCAACAGCTATTGTTGTTGGTTTTGATGGTACAGTAGTTGTTGCAAGTCATTTTGGTCATCGTCTTCATATGTATTCACCGGAAAGTGAACATGATGATTCGCATGCAGAAGGATATAATTTTAGACAATATAAATTAGGTGCACCTGGGCATGATATACATGAATTTCATCATCCAGCTGGTATGTCTATTGATTATAGTGATGGTTATTTATATATTTGTGATCGAGGAAATTATCGTATACAAGTCCTACGACCAGAAGGTGTATGTGAACGAGTTATTGATTTATTATTAAATTCCGACAGTTTAGAACAATTATCTCCTGTGCAATTAGCTATTCAACAACATGGTGATCAAATTGTTTGTTTAATTGGTAAAGGTGATGCTATATGTTTTATTCCAAAATATACTAATGGGTAAATATGATTTTTTAATGATCATTTATATTTTCTTTTAAATTAATCATTTATTTCTCTAGAGAAGTTTATGTTGACGCATTATATATTACTGATAATGATGGATTAGGTCTTCTAGGAGCATCTGGTATTGCTATCGATCATAATGATCGAATCTTTATTTCGGATACAGGTCATAATCGTATTGTTATTTGTACACCTGAAGGTGGTTATATAACACATTTTGGTACAGAAGGTAGTGGACCAGGTGAATTAAAACGTCCATGTGGTTTGGATATAACAGCTGATGGAACAATTGTTATTGCTGATAGTGGTAATAAACGATTGCAATTATTTGGTTCAATTCGTGAACAAGCCGACGGAGAACCGAAGAAATCTACAACGCAATCACCTGATGATAGCAAATTTTAATTGTTCAATACGAAGTATAATGCAATATCAATTAATAAACTTAATTTTTTTCTCTTTTTGTTTTTTTGCTAAATATATTTATTTATAAATTTTTATAAAGCCGAGTGTTATGTGTCTAAATAATGATTAACATTGAGATTAACTAACACATCATCGTTAAGGACATTACTATTGCTTGATAAAAATGATTCTTTTTTTAATTCAGTTATTAGAAGCTATTTAACTGATTAAGTTTTTGCAAACTGGCAAAGCTGCTAAAAGCTACATATCAAAGATTAAAGTAAAATTATCCAATTTGTTCATTTCTTATTTTTTATTCTGATTTTTAAATAAAATATTTCATTTTTTAACCGCGCAATATCTATATTAAAATATGTAGAAAAAATATTATGACTATCGAAAAAAAGAAAACTCAGTTTGTTTTTCATTGATCATTTTGATTCAACAAGATCATTACAAATGATAGATATGCATATTGTACTACACTCATATTATTTTGATATACATGACTTTCTTGTATTCTATTTTGTTTTAATTAATATCATGCTAGAAAAATACATAATTTATCACAGACATACAGAACTTACAGTTTTTAGTTTTGAGTCAGTGTCTAATATACACTATAAGATTTCAAGAATAAGATAGGATATATTATACTGTATTCGATTTTTTTCCACGAATTGAATGTTGTCATAATCAATTCACATGATCTGACTTTTAATATTTATTCTTTGCTTGGCCAATCGGTTATTGAGAAGTTAGGAATATGATATGTATTGAAATGTATATCATCGTTCCAGTAAATATCGATATATCATCTTACAACTCTTCATATAAGAATAATATTCTATTATTTTGAAATCTCCGAATTGATTAATTCTAAAAAGAACAAGATATTGTTTCGATTACTTTTTGAAGGAGAAAGATTTTTTGATGGCATATAAGATATTTTAGTTATTTCAAAAGAGTGCGAAGATTTTCAAGGGTCAAATTCGACTCTCATAAAATCGATTCTGCTTGATGATAAACGATAGACATTTTGACAATATAAGAAGATCTCCGCTGAACAATGTTTACATATAGTTTATTCTATGAAAATAACACTAGTTCATAATCAAAATCATTTACAAAACTTCGATTTCTTGTTTTACAATAGAAATTTAGACATCCAACAGGCACATTATGTTTTCATTCACTTCTATATTCTTAAATAGATTACACTAAAAAGTCTTTCGCTATATTATTCGATTAATTTATTCATCGATAAAAATAAATTACACTTCAAATTTCGCCGATTCGTATCGTTACACTTTCATTTACAATTCATATATATATTTATTTAAAACGGCAGATTTATATAGAATAAAATTTTTGAATAGAAAAAATACACTGGCTAAAGAATGCAAAAAAGAAGGATAAATTACAGATTCACTCGTCGTTCGAGAGAAAGTGTAATCTATACAAATAATGATTAGTTAATGTCGACGTAAAGCTTCTAAACGAGCTTCTAAATCAGCATCAGCAGTTGATACCGCTTGTGCTTGTTGACCTTGACCGGGATTAGCTGCACGAGTTCCTATAGCACCATTTTGTGCGGCTATAAAAAGAATTTATCATCTTTATAAATTTAATATAAAATAACTTACCAGGAATTTGATTAGCCATAGTTATATTAAGTTCATTAAGTACTTGATCAACAAGATCGTCACTATAAATGAAATCTTTAAGAATAAACAAAAAACGTTTGCTTTATTTCTATTCTTACGTTGCTTCTTCATCTTCATCTCCTTCAAAAGCAGCATCCATAGCATCGCTCATCATTTCTTGTTTTATATTATTTGCAGTCATATTTTGTTCAAACATTTGCATTGTTTTTTGAAATTCGGCTAATGGCATCTGAATTAAGAAAAATTGTTAAAAACTAAGAAAAAGAAACTTATTGAACAAACCATTCGATTTAATCTTGCTAATGTTTTTGTTGTTTTAACCATAACACTAGCCATTGTCATTTGGGCGTTCATTGATGATGCTTCAGATTCAAGTGTAGATAATGTTGCATCCATCTGACCTAACTTATTGATTTGATTTCGTTGATTAACGATATTTTTTGCATATGTTCGTAATGCTTTCTATTTGATTTCAAAGAAATTTACAAGATAAATAATACAAATGAAATATTACCTGTTCGCCTTTAGCAGCTAATTTACGAATTTCATTTTCACTGCGTGTTTTTTCATTATTCAAACGATTTTTTTCACGTTCAAGTTCACGTCTTGCTCGTCGAATAGCTCGTTTGTTTTCTTGCATCATTTCTTTGGGTGTTTTTGTATGAAACAATTCTTTTAATTTGTCCATATTGATTAAAATTATTCGAAGATTATAGTTTATAAAAATAAATCTAATAAATAATATATATATACGTATATGTATACAAATGTTATGGAAGCATCAAGTATGTAGGTGGAGAAGCATATAAAAATGAGTCAACTAAGAAAACAACATGAGTGAACAATCATTGCTAAAGAGTTGAGACAAGAAGCTCTCTCATGTATGATTCATAATAAATTTTCAAGATTCACCAATGAAATTTCTAGATAGTAATTATTATACGTAAATTGTATTTTAATATAAATAATTTGCGTATACTATGAATGAATGATTGAGAAAAATATATAAGTTATGTTTGAAAGATGGCGCCAATAACCAGATGCTATATAGTTTTCAGTATTTCAAACGATCAAGCCCTTGATGTGATTATTGTAATTTTGAGGTGAAAAGAACATACAATAAGTGGAAAGCAGCTGATTCTGGGATTCTGAAGCTATAGAAGCCAGCTGTTTCTCCTTGCTACGTATCACTACAGTTCAATTAACCAGTTCAGACATAGATGTGTTTTTTCCATAGTTAGCAACTGGTTTCTATTGCTGGTGGTGCTATTTTATCATCAACAACTGTATGATATGATTATGAACAAGTATCAATAAATTGTACTGGCGATCTGAATAATATCAAGATTATCATATATGTACGAAAAACTATTAGTGCTACATATACAGTAATGGTTTCTCTAAATATTAGAATGGAACACGCAATGAAGCCTATATGAGTAATGAAACTCATATGATTCACACATGGATAATAATTAATAGGCAAATCATTCGAGCTAGTAGAAGTTCATGCAGAACACAAAAATAATTCAGATTGTATGAAGTTAATCAATCAGCAAATGCCGATATTTATATAGTAACAGTTACAGCAATTAGTGGAGTGACAAGTTCGTTTATGAGAAATTTTTAGTAGAAGTGTGATTGAATATTTTAGATGTGTTTGCTCAACAATTAGAGACGTTAAATAAATAAAGTATTTAATTTGTAGGAAGACTTTCAAGTAATTATTAATTCTCCAAAAATTGATTTTACTTATACATGAAGTTTCTTGTCATTCATGTATAACAATAGATTTTTCTTCTCTCTTGATAAAGTATATTAATACATTTCAGGCAAAAATATTATTCTATAATAGACACTTTTAAGAAATACAATATAATGTTTATAAAAGAGACTTTAGTCTAGATTTTTCAATAGTAAACTCGAAAAGAAGAGAAGGAACAACGAGTACTAATCAATAATGAAATATTTTTTATGAATTTTGATTCTAAGTTGACTAAAGTCTCTATTTAAATCTGTATTGTTCTATATACATGAAACGAGTCATTGTAGTGATAATGCGAAAAATATCATAATATTTTAATATTCAAAAAAGAAGAAATAATACTGTTTTCAGATCATTTATTGATGTTATCTGAATAAAATACTAACATATAGAGTGATACCTATTGATTTCAACACATCAAGATCTCGGCAACAAGTAAAACTGCTATTCAAATATTTAACAACTAGTCTCTATGACGACTATTTCAATGATACTATTCACTTTATTAAGCTTATTCGTTAGTTTAGATTTGATTCTGTAGTATATAATAGTTTTCTTCATTTCAAACAAGTAATATTAATTCAGGATACACTTCAATATCTTTCTCAACATTTTTGGGTAAAACAGTCAGTCAATCATATGTAAATAATGAAACACAGATTATTTATACAAGGACAATTATTAACAAACAAATGATTCCAGCTAAGGATAATCCATATAAAGCATAGATATAACTTAGTTTCTATGGTACTACTCGATTGATAAGTGTTGATATTCATACAGTGGCTGAAATCGCAAACACACTTTCTAGACAAATGATTTCAATTTAACGAAATTTTTATTGAATTCTTTATGAAATAAGAGCACCTTCTTTGCATGCAAGCAAGCACATAAAAGAAACACTTGACTAATTTGTTTGTATTATTTGAAAAATCCTTAATTGATATCTCACTACCTATAATAATAATAATAATAGTAATAATAGTAAAGCACCGATTATAAACATTCAATAAATTATTTGTGATCAATAGTTGCTGGTCGTAGTGGAAGTTTGAAACCATGCACACGTGTTGGATAGTTAGTAAATGTTTCCCATGCTACTTTTTCTGCTTTTGTTGCATCTAGCCAAGTTACTGGTTTATTATCAAAATGACCTTGTGATAGATTAAGACGTATAAATCCAAACATAAACTTCTTAAAACGTTCTTGACACCAAATACTTATTTCAATAGATGTATTTTTTAAATTATCTCGACGTACACCATCCCATCTTAATGGTAATTCCCAATTAGGTGTTGGACCTTTACGTGTTGTTGGCATTTTACGTTTAATTTTGTCAGGCATTAATACACTAACATAAACATAACGTTAAATAAATAAAAAAAGTTTTGGAAAAAAAGTGTATTATACCCTTTACAAATTGCTTCAACTTCATGTCTACCATAAAAAATAGCTTTTGCTTCAATATTACTTATTTGTAATGTTCCAAGATCTTTATTTTTTGGATTTTCAATAAATGTTATTTGAAACGAAATTTCAGCTGGATCCATTGTTGGTACAATATTTGGTGATAACTATATTCACAAAAAATATGTCTTCATTCAATAATAGAAATAAAATTTAACTTACATCATTTTTTTTCTTTTGTGCTAATAATTCATATTCTTTTGTTGCATCTAGTGTACAATTAGCTAATGGAATATGTATTTCACCAAGAAAATCATTGTGTGATAATGATCCTTGACTCCATACGGATACCCATATGACTCGAGTTTCAAATTCTTGTTTAGTTACATGATACTATTTTGAGAAAAACAAACAAAAATGAATAGTATTTTATGAAGATCAAAAGTATATATACACGAAATTTTTCTTCAAATAGTGGATCCGTTGTATTCTTCTTAATTACTGATTTACGTTTGCTATTTTTCGAACGATCTGGTAGTAAATAAACTTTAACAAAACTACAAAAAAAATTTTAAAAAAATTGAATTTTTAAGAAATATGAAATTCTTACGGATCAGATGTTTTATTTCTTTTTGCTCGTGCTAAATTTGTACATTTAACTATGAATATATCTAATGCACCTGTTGTTAATGTATAGGTTAATTTTATTTCAATTGAACCAGATATATCAAGACCATAACGAGATTTTGCATCACTTACTGCACTATTAAGACTCAATTGTGAACCCTAAATAAGGAAATTTTTATAAAAATATCAACAAAAAAATGAAGTTTTTTTTTGTAAGTATTAAAAAGCATTAAAAAGAAATTCAATCAAGCATTAATTTTTCAAACTTACACGCATATCCATGCAGGAAGATGCACGATTTTGTAAACCCTATATAGTGCAATAATCTCACCGTTTTACATATATTACAATTTATATTTAAAGATTTTTTTTCCTGAATTAGTATTTTTTAATTTATTATTAAGAGCAATTTGTTTTTGTCAATTTTGTTTTTTTAAAAAAAAACTTACCATTTTAACTTTTTCAAATGTTCCATCAATATCATCATCACTATCAACTGCATCAAGATGTCCAACACTACCAAAGATTTCTGGTTTTGATTGTCTAGTATTATTATTACTATCATTATGATTTGAATTAGTTTCTACTTGAAGATGATTATTATTAGTTTTTGATGTAATAGTACTTGTAGATTCACGTGGCTGAAGTTTAGAAGTTAAATTTGTATCATCTCTTACTGATAATGAAGTAGTAGATCCTAAATAAATATAGAATAAGGAAACAACTTGAATAAAAATTTAAGATATTCTATTTATAAAGATAGGGAAAAAAAGGTACAAAAATAAGTATACAAAGATAAAATGTTTTTTTTTATTTATTGTGTTTGATAACGTTTTTTATCCGCTGATCGACGTACGGTACGTGTTCTAGGCGGATTTGTTGTTGCGGTTGGCGTTGTTGATGATATACTCGATTCATCATCTTTACTTGATGATGATAAATGTAATTTCATTAGAATATATTTTGTTTTTGATATTTTAACTGGTGGAGTTACAGTCTGTTTTATAATTGAAGCTGCACTAATCGTTTTTGTTAATGCTGGTTGTTGTAACGAATTTTTTTCTTGTTCTTCTTCAACTTGTCCATCACTCCAACGTCTACTCAATGGTTCTTTATAAGTTTCTTCGTTATCTTCATTTTTTACATCAGCATCTGCTTGAGATACTGTTATTACGGGTACATTACGAGTAATTTTTCTAGGGACAGTATTCGTATTCTTATAGTTAGTTTGTTCTTCATCTTCTTCTTCTTCACCAATGCTATGTAAAGGATGTTTATCAAGATTTATCGGTGGAGTAATTATAACTTCAGGCGATGTAAAAATATCGATAGTATTATGTAGATTTAATGTATTCCAATCATTATCAACAGATTGCTCGTTTTGATTTTGTTCTTCTTGTATATCATTATTATCAGAATCGAATGTACGTGAATGTCCATATGGATCAGTAATATATATAGCTGATGGAACAGTACACCAAGATGGAGGTGGTGAATGACGTCGATGATCTTTTATGTCGGAATTCTTTTTTCGTATTAATAAACTTTCATGATCACTTTCATCGCTTGAAGCTTCATCATCAAGTGAATTAGATGTTGAATGAAAAAAAGGACGCGATGGTGATGTTCCTGATGAATTTGTCATTGGTGAAATATTCTGATCATCAGGATTTGATATTGGTCGTTCGAGAGTATTTTTTCGTTTGATTTGAGGTAACTCATCAAATGGTAATATAGAAGAATGTGAAGGTGTTTGATGTAATGTTTTTTTTGGTGCGATAAAAATAGGTGATGATTTTTTCGATTTTTTTACAGCTGTACTTCCAACTTTAGTATTATTATGCGGTACAAATGAATTAGAATTGGAAGAGTCAATTTTTTTATTTCGTCTTTGATGTATATAAGATGCAGGTAGCGGTGTATCTCGTTTTTTCATTGTCATTGTTGATTTTTGTGATTGGTCAACATTTGATAATAAATCATATTTATTACTATTCTTATCAGTTTGATTTGATAGATTTTCATTAAATAGATTGGAAGTAGTATTGATATTTGATGAGAGTTGATCAACAAATGGAGAAGAAAAATGATTATATGAAGGGTGTGGTGGATCTGATGTTTGTGAATTCCATTGTTGGACTACTTGAGCGGTATAGGCATCTTTATAGTTCTTATTTTCGTCATTATGATTATTAGTTGAAGTTTTACTAATAAATGGATGATTTTTTGTTGATGAATACATATTGGTTAGTACAATTGATGGTTGTTTAGAAATGTTTTCTTGTTGTTCAGCAGATTTATAAATCGTATTCATGATAGAATACTCTCAATGTTTGTCATTGATGGATAAAAAACATATTTCGAATTAATATGACGCGTTATTTTTTTCTTTATATAATAAATAATATTGTATATTTTACGTGCTTTTTTTGTACAATACGAAATGTAATTGTCGTTAAGTTAACGATATTCGTTCAAGTGTGACTGATTAGTCACACGAGGAACATAATGTGCAATTTAATGTGCATATATTCCTCTCTTTTTCTTTTTCGTTGTTGTTATCGTCATTGAAAAAAAAAACTTTTTTTCTTATTCTGCCGAGTCAATGTCCAACTGACTAATGCGATTTTTATCTTTCTATTTTTCGATTTATAGCTTAAGATGACGGCGGCAAAGGATTACTAGTCATACCTTTTTTTAGGTGTTGCTTTTTGATAAAAATAATATTATTTCGAGTATAGACTAGATTCAATTAATATGCATTCGAGAAAAAAGAAAAAAAAAGGTATTCCGACGCCGGGAATCGAACCCGGGCCTCCTGCGTGAAAGGCAGAAATCCTAACCACTAGACCACGTCGGATACATACTTGATTTGCTTTGTTTATCTGGTATTTTGATCGATACTGTATCTGATTGTTCAGGTTGCTTTTTTAGTTCAGAATTCAATGATGTACGTGATGATGATAAGTGTGGTTTTGGAATACGATGTACAGCATCTCGTAAACTTTGAACTGAACTACCAATATGCATACGTGATGATAAACTATGTCTTGAACCATCTAATAATTGAAAATTGTTCAATATAACATAAGTTCATTTTGCATTTACTTACATTTTTTTGTAGATTTTGGTTCTCGTGATGTTGGATCACCTACTTCTGAATCTGCACCCCATTCTGATGATGTAACAGATGCACAATCAACTGCATAACTAGATCTATTATTTCGATCTATTTCAGTATTCACTGTTGATAAAGAGTCAGTACTTCGTCGTGTAGATACACTAGTTCTTGGTTGAGTACTAATTGTATTAATTTTCGTACTACTTGGAAATTGACGAGGTGTTTGATTTGGTGATCGATCATATAATGAATCAACATCATCTGATGAAGCACTATTTGGAATATTTGAATTAGCTAATTTTAATTCACGTATTTGCGGATGTGTTGGACGTTGTTGAACATTTTTTTTAAGAGCATTTAATTTTTCTTCATCTGTTGTTGATGGAATAACCATTCGAGTTAAAGTATTACTGAGATTTTGTTGATTAGGTTTAGTTTTATTCATAATTGGACGTTTTCTTTCAGATGAATCAATAGTACTTTCAGTTTCAGTGTCTGAACTTGATAAATCATTTAAATCTATTTATAAAACAAAATCGAATGAATTAAATTATATAGGATAGAGTTTAAGTTCTATTACTTCGTATAGAAATCGAAGGTGTAAGTGATTTGCGTATAATTTCTGATGCAGTTACTGAATCTTTACGAAGATTACTTCGAAAAGAATATATCCATTCACCAGAATAACTCATTAATTGCCTGAAAAAAAAATAATCAAATAAGAATTCTTTTTAAAAAATTCTCTAATGAACATATTAATGTATCCGACGTGGTCTAGTGGTTAGGATTTCTGCCTTTCACGCAGGAGGCCCGGGTTCGATTCCCGGCGTCGGAATTCTCTTTTCTTTTTCTTTTTTCTTTTAATTTTAGTTTCTAAACTTACATTTGTTTACAACAAAGTTGACATAACCATCCATTATCATTCACATTATACATAAGTCTACATTGTTTACAAACTTTAGCATTACATTTGGGACACGCATCACCTGTATTAAATATATAACCAAATGGTGTTAAACATCGAGCACATACAGCGTCTGATGTTGGTTGTGGTCGTTGTTCAAGATCAGCTACTTCTTTTCGTAATTGCCTAAATTATATTATTACATTTTAATCGATATATGATAAATTGAATGTACATACATAAAACGTGCCAAATGTTTATTACGTACATTTTCATCTCGTAATAAAACATTTAATATGTGACGTTTTTCTTCTTCGTTTAAACCGGAAAGATCAGGTAGATTAATAAGATTATCATCATTAGAACTTATATCTGTTCTTATTGAACGACTTGGAGAATAATTTCGTTTTGTATTATTACGTGTCATTTTATTATCATTATGTTCAAGTCTAGAAAAAAAAGAAGAGAGAGAATAAATTTTATATAGATATATCTTAATTTTCAAACTATCTATTATAATTTCTTTAATATAAAGCAAGAAAAAAAAAGTTAGCAAATATATGCGCGTAAATCTATCTGTCAACAGGATAGCTTAAAGGTGACTATTACACGTGTATGAACGCATGTTAATAAATAGAAGAAAAAAAAAGCATCACGATGAAGTGAATAACTCGTTTTTCTTTCAAATTGAAACATTTTTCTTTTTATTAGATAATTAATATAAAAGGTTTTTTTTTCTAAACAAAACTCACAACTTGCTGTATATATGTTAATAAATAGTGATGACATACATATATATATATATATATGTATATATATAACAAATATATATTATCCCGTAAGCTATAATCGTATAGAAAGAGCGAGAGAGAGAGAGAGAGCGGGAGAGAGAGTAAGCGGTAAAAAGAAAAAAAAATATTTTTATGCGTTTTGGATGTATGGGCATGTTGTGTGTTCTTTCTCTTTTCTTTGGATGAAAAGAATCTGAGAGTGTTCTCACCCAGAAACTTGCTCTTCTACATTTGACTTGCTTTCATATTCTTCCTTTTTTTCTTCTTTCGGCTTTCTTTTTTCAAGAAATGTCTTATCATAAAGGTTTTTTTTTTATTTAAATTAAGATTTAGGAGCGATCTTTTTCTATCATTTTTCATAAGTAGTTGCTAATAATTTTTCATCGTCAGTTATAAATAAATAAATGAAGAGTATTTGAAAATAAGTTTAATCAGGTTGATAAAAATGTATTCATATGTACTAATATTATAGTAAGCAATAAAACATATGCATGAGCAACTCACTAATTTTTGCTTTGCTTGTCGTGATATATATATAAATATATTCGTATATCAAAAGCGACTGTACTGTCGTAAAATAGTGAACAGAACGGAGAATGATTGCACAAGCATTATCACCTTTACGTCCTTGCTTCAGACAGAGAGAGAGAAAAAACGAAAAAAAAAGCACAGTCATAGTTGATCAGTAAATAACGACAAAAAAAGAAATAGGAGGTGACGATAGTATATAGGTGAAAGACGTAATGATCTTACGCACATGTACACCCATTTTCTTTATTTCGTACTAAAAGGATGAAGAAATATTGAACTTGTTATATTTAATACGAGCTATAAAGAAAAAAGAAGAAGATATATTTATAGAAGTAATATCTATGAATTATAATGAATAAGAAATTATTCATAATTGAATTAGATATTTGATTATCGTTCTAATTCTCACGAGAATTATAGCTAACAAAAATCGATTTCAATTTCTCAGCATATTTCCAACGTAATTGTCATTCTATATAAAATATTTTTTGTGAGAAAAACAAACAAAGATCTAGGTTTTTATTATTTTTACTTTTACAATGCGTTGTTAAATTGAGGAGTGACACTATTATTTTAACTACAATGGACTAATATATTTACATTTCTTTTTTATGTATGTCTGATCATTATTCATTCACGTACTATATTTTATGATGATATTGTTAGTAAAAAAAGAACGTTATTTTTCATTCGAGTCAACTAGTTCTGCTAAAAGCTGATATAAAGAGTCAGAAACAGACATAATCATTCTATTCATAGCATGTTCTCAAAATAAATTTTGTATTCAAATCATTACTATGAATGTAAAATAGAAATTTATTCTTAGTCAAAGAAAAGAACATATGACTTACCATGATGTTTACGTCATTCTAGACTTTCTTTTTTTGTCTCTCATCCTTTTATGACATACGTCATGATTAGTCACCATTGTAACTAATATTTTTTTGCCTTCTTCTGCTACTTTTTGTTATAAATGACAATGATCGACTGAAGAAGAAAAAAAAAAGTCAGACATTGTACCTACATGTCTATTATCCATTTTTCTTTTCTCTAGTAGTAAACAGACAAACATGCATTTGGCAACTTGTTAGTACGTCAATATACATCACGCACTTCATCATCCATCATACCATATAATCTCCTGTGGGCAGTGTAACACATGATGGAGAAAAAGAAACGATGATGTTCGTATGTTGTCATCAACTAAATATGTATATAGAAAATAGTTTGCTTTGTTAGGTCTTGTTTAATAAGAATAACAAAAAACAATAAATGACAAATTCTTGTTCTATCTTGTTTTCTACGAGCAACCATGCGAATAACAAGATATTAAGAGAAACCACAATAGACAAAACAAGACACATATTACATTTATTTCTGTCTTCAATCATTACAATAAATTAGATAAAACTAATGAGTATAACATTACTATTCTTTCTTATATAAATAAGGAAAGAGAGTTATATATTTCTATTAATATTTACTTGACTGATTTTTTTTATTTTACAATCTATTAAAAATATAGAAGTGGATAAAAAAAAGTATATCTTAGAAATGTTACTATATTTGATAGCTAATATGTAATATACAGATGCTTGATAGGAATACATAAATGTCTTTTACAGAGCCTGGAATTTATCAAATATTGTCATAATGTTCTTGACATTCATTTGAAATAAGTACGGAACTTTTCAATTGACAATTAATAACGAGAATAAAAAAGAACTAGAAGAATTTTCTTTTTTTTTCAATAGAAAATAACTGACATTTTGATTAGTAATTGATAAATATATTAAATTTTATCGAAATTATTTTTCTAGTAAATGAAATTAAATAGAAGAAAAAAATTGATTGTTATTATTTCTATGTAAACTTTCCGTTAGACTAAATTGGAAACAATTTATTATTAATGTACAAATAAAAAAATGAATTATTCAAGGCGCTCTCATTAGTCTACTTGATAGAAAAAAGAAGACGATAAAATGCCATTAACAATCATCATATTATTATTTTGTTTTTTACATCTCTTTCAAAATATCCAATCTAGAAAATATCAAAATGATGATAAACAATGTACTTGTGAATGTTGTTTAGATGATAATGAAAATTGTACACCAACATTTCGTTCGTCTATTAATATAAATCCATTATTAGATTGTAATAATATTACATGCAATCAACAATCATGTTTGACTTTTTCTCAATGTTCGATTGCATTTGGGTATTTTTAGTTCTTTCTTTTATTGAAAATATTGTTTTTTGTATGTCTATAGAAAAACTATAGCGTCATGTAAGGATATAGTAGTTTTTTCATCAACATCTGTACAAATAACATTTCAAACTTTACTTTTTTACTTACTGTTGATTTTTAGAATTTCATACGGTTAATATTTGTTGTTCTTTAACATAAAAATTTATGTTTAAAGTAATATAATTGAAGGGTAGTTTCATTCAAAGAAAAAAAAGGATAGTGGTTCCTGTTCTCAGAAAGGAATTTCTCCATTATCAACTCCTGTCGTTACCACAACAGAAGTAATTGAACCGAAAATCGCACCTAAGTAAAACCCATATGGTTGTGCGTGTTTATATGCAGGTATAAACTTCTTTACATTCTCGTTAATAATATCAATTAACGTTATTAAAACTAGTAAGAATACATATATATGTCACAGCTCGATAAGTAGCTACTCAAACAAGAACTCACGTGAATATAACAGATGAGCAGTCACGTGAAAATACTTCGTCTCAAGATCTATCAAGTCCAACTAATACAGATTAAAGTTAATTAATGAAAAAGTTTAATATGTACCAGCTGAAGGTATAATTTCAATTGATGTTAAGAAAGAATATAAAACAATATAAGAATGTTTACGAGCATTCAAAATCAAACTAAGTTGTTGTACAACTTTGTTAATATAGTAGGAATAGTTTTCTTGACGTTATATGTTTTTTTAATCAAACTAATGTCATTTTTTTAAGACTCATTATTATCCATTCCCAACGGAACTTGATGCAATTTTAAAACAAGAATAAGCCGCAATTTTTTTTGAGATGAAATTCATGAATGAAAAATAATTATTTTTCCATCATCAGAAACAAGAATATTATCAAATTAAGTTACATCAATTTGATCATTAAATAAAATTTGTAGTAAACATAACATTGAATGACATTAGAAAATATAAGAAAAGGAAATATAGACTTTTCTAATGATATCTATCATGTCAGACATATTAGCACAATCCCTACGGGTTTTATCATATGGAAGAGGAAATAGCTGCTGCTACCACTAATAGAGAGAAAACATCTTTAACAAATGGGTTTATATCAGTATCATATATATATTTAATCACATTCTTGATTCATAGACTTTGCTATTAACAACTTATAAAAACACATTATTGAGATAGAGTTCACCATACTATTCATACATTTCTATGAATTCATTATTTCACAGTATGAAAAAATTCTATTTATATAGATTATTACGTTGTATCTGCTAGTGCTGTTATATTTTATACTTTAAAACTTGCTCCATAGAATCCAAGGTTTCCATTGTATCAATAATTGTAGCTTTTAATAAGTTAGACATGATCTACTATTAACAAACAAAATAATCTATGAATAGCATCATCTGCGGTTTTTTGACATGAAACAAATGGTAAAAAATTTATCATGCAGTCAGCTATTACAGAATGTTCTCTTAGATAAAATATAAACTATATAATTTAGTTTTAATCAAATGTAATATCTAAACATTTGATTGGTACATATAATTTCGCTGTTGTACTTTTAAAGTTAATATCTAATTCTTTTTCTCCTTGAATATCATCACTGTCACATGGCAGAAAAAGAATAGAATGTAAACATTGAATATTTTCTATTCATTCGTACACACGAAAATGCGCTGGATACTAATCTTTATCATTATTCTTCATCTGTTCAATATATTCATTGTTTCAAAAAGTGATACGGCATTATTAAAATCAAAACGATTCTTGTTTTCATCGTTATCATGTAAACGAATGCATAAATCATGTGAATATCATTATGATTGCTGTCCACCATTACGATGTAGTTTTATCGATCAAACATGTCAACCACGATAGAACAATAATATAATTTTGTAAATGTTTTGTCTTTACAATAAATTCACCTGTACTGTCATTGTTATTTTTATATATTAAATGATTGACTGTATATGAATAAGCATTCATACGGTATTAGATTTTTATTCCTAACGAAATTTTCAAAAGTCATCAAATCAGATCTGAATTAGATAATTTAACAAAAACAGTTTTGTTTCAATTCGAGATGTGTCTTTTGTTTGAGAAAAAACAAATTTCAAAATAACAAATAAAATAATTCGGTGAATCCATAAACATCAATCAGTATATGGAAAAAATACAAAATAGTTACTTCTTCTAATATACATATGATAACGGAAAAAGAACTAAATAGAGACTAACTATCAGTAGTCGTCTTTTGAAATGATTCTGCAGTTACTGGTAAATTTTGACCTTGTCGATTTTGCACCAAACGAAAATAACAAGGAGGTATATAACCATCTTCATTACCCGGAGACAGTATCACATTATTAGAAGATACAAAAAATGTTAAACCATCTAAAGATAAAGAAATATTTTTTTTTTTAAAGAAAGATTAAATTAAAGTGATTAATTCTAACCTTTTAAAGCTTTTTCCATATCAATATAAATATATAATTGAGCACTTGCCCGCATTCCTTTAAAAAACATTAACAAAATTTTTTTTTCTTTTTGAATCATCAAATTTACTTACCACTTATAACACCATTTTGAGTCGGCATTCCTGGTGCGAAATGAATATGTGTTCGATTCATTTTTGATAAACCCTAATAAATAGAGAAAGATGATTAAATCAAAATTATATATTTGCTGTATCATACTTTAGTGCTGATTGATGGCCAATGTTTCATATACGTTCCATGTAATACAACAGGAAATTGATTTGGATTTGTGATTTGTTTCATCTCGACATTAGCTTCTTCTAGAGAATGACCTTGATGTGCACGAATCATTTCTTTACCTGTTTGTTCATCAACTTTAAGACCAAAGCGTTTCTTTTCATTTTTTGCAACACATTCATGAATATCCTCAACTGTATATTTATTTGCAAAAGAATGATGATTAAGTACATCTTCAACAAATACGTAACCATCAGATTGAAATTGTAAACCTTCTTTTAAAACGGCATGACGTAGCAGCCATGATAAAGCTTTTGATAATTGTACAACTTTTTCGGAAGCAGAATTAGATGCACCTGTCCTCTATTAAAACAATTTTTTGTTAAACAATATAGAAATAAATTTATTTAACTCACTTGACTTGAATATTTGTAATTTCTTGCAGCCATTTTTATATATAATAATCGGAACAGTTTATTAAAAATATTTTAATGTATATAATCTACGATTGTAGAGAATATATATATTTGCAATAGAGGGATTGAAAATGAGTCATGACACGTGGTATTGCACAATAGTTTGGCAAATAAACGAAAACATGTATGTTTTTTGTCAATAATCATCATCAGTCACCGTAGTCTCACGTATTGTTTAAAATAAGGTAAGAAAAAAACTGTCATAATTAGATGATGTCATTTCCCTTATTTTATGCTATATTTTTTGTGCAACTATGAATAATTTCGATATAGAAATATATCTAATTAGGAGTGACAATTACTGATGAAAGATAACAGATGACTGTTTTAAAATGATGTAAAATTCAAAATAGGTTAAACTTTTCCTTCCATAATATCTGATTGTCGCGAAAGTAATCTCAGATTGAAGAGATTTATCGGAGACATGTTTGCACCAAATATTGAATGAAATCATCCTATATTCGAGAAGAATGCTTAATTTTTACTTTTTCAATTTAGTGTTATCTAGCACTTTTCGTTACACTAATGAAAAACAGATTTTAAGACTATCCGTGTGACGCATGATGTATGTAAAAACCTCCAGATGAATTAGACCTAAACTAGATGATTCCATAGAGTAATTAACATTCCATCCAGTCATTTAAAGAAACAGGAAGACTTATATCTTTGGCGGATTATAACGGTCTATGAAAAATAACGAATATCTGCGTAAAAATATTTTTTGGAGACTTTTAGAACTTCGCTAAATTCTCCATCAAGACAAGGAACAAATCAAATGAGAACCATACAATTCGTTAGAGCAATCAATGTTCTATCCAACTATATAAAAAGAAAAAAATTCTAAAGTTCCACAGAAATACAGTAACCTATCAAAACTAACGTAATCATATTGCAGGTTAAAGAGAATATTAGAATTTCCTTAAAATATATTTCTATGAATCATTCTGTTACATACACCAGTTAAATATGAGTCATATGCAATCAAACAGTGCAAATATTTATATGTTGAGTAGTTTTGAAAGAATAAAAATAGATCTTTTAAAATAAAACAAGACGAGATATTCAAGTATTTTTATTGTTGTTCATTCTTGAATATCTTAGAGAAAATAAAAAAACATTCAGTCTTTAAAAATAAATAAAAATTTCATTCAAGGAAAGCTAATTGAAGTACGCCTTTGGCAAATAAAACAATTTCTTGACCACCTAATTTTGACTCACCATAAATTCGATCAACAAATATAATTGGTACTTGTGCAATACGTAATTTAGCTTTAACAGCTCGTACAATCATTTCCATTTGAAAAACATACCCTTTCGAAGTACATTGGTTTACTAATGTATCAAATAATGATTTACGATATAAACGAAATGAACCTGTAACATCAGATATGGGTGGACGAAGAAGAAGTTGTGTTAAATAATTTGCTCCACATGATATTACTTTACGACTAAGACTCCAACCGGCAACACCACCACCAGGCAAATAACGACTACCTGTTACAATATCATAATCACCTTCACGTTGTTTTGCAATAAAATCTGGAATATAACGTGGATGATGTGATAAATCAACATCCATAATAATGAGAAAATCTCCACGTGCAAATTTTGATCCATGAATATAAGCTGAACCTAAACCTAATTTACCTGAACGTGGTTTAAGAATAATTTTTTCAGGACCTAATTGATGTTGTAATTCTTCAGCTATTTTTTGTGTACCATCTGGTGAATTATCATCAACAATAATTATTTCATGTGGTGTATCTTTTAAATATTCTTCAATTAAGGCAACAACAATTGGTAAATTCTTTCGTTCATTATAAGTTGGAAGAAGAATTGAATAAAAATGAGATTTAGACATGTCTTACTTATTCAAATCTAAAATAATTATATACTTCTCCGTATTTATTTTCAATCAAAATGTTCGATAATTAAATTACAAGAAAATAAAGATTATGTTTTTGTTTTGGCTTAAATAGCCTCAATCAACAATCCATCATATGTATATATTTATTTTCCCCTTTTACTCCGGACTGCCGATAATAATTTTTTTTTAAATACACACTCACATACAATAAAGAATAAATACATTGAGATATTCATACGGATGTGGAGGAGTTATATAAGAATCGAAATAATGAGCGTCTACGAGAAAAGAATGTATGTTTGTTTGTTTGTTTTTCTGATACTTTTCACCTGAAATTCTATACACAAAAGAGAACAAAAAAAAAGAAAACGCTGAAATTACAATGATATAATGATAATATGGAAATAAATTATTAGAATAATGTACAACATCGATTCGTTTTTCTTGCCTAGAAAATAAATAGAAATTCTGTATTTCAGTAAAAAACGAAGTCAAAATTATATTATCATACCGTCGTATAAAAGGCTTTTGCCTCGAAACTTAAATCATTTGATCGTGCAACTAAATCATCGATTTTTTCGCCACGTTCAAGAACATTAACCAATGTACTTTTCTATAAAAATATGTTTATTATTGAAATATTTATCATAGTGACAAAAAAAGAGCTTACAAGAATATCTTTTGTATCATCAAGATCTTTTTGTAAACGCATTAACGGATCAGCTTCTGATGGATTCTAAATTTAAATAACTCATTATACATAAAACAGAACAAATATATATCAATAATGCTAACCTGATATTTCTTTAGTGTTTCACCGAGTGATACCATTTTACCTGTTCTAAATAATAAAAACAAATAATAAAAATTTTCTTCGAAATATAGTTGACTTACTGTTCGCCCATACTTCCCCATGAAGAAGGTGGATACATAGCAGTAAAATCATCCATAACCTAAAAATATTCGTTGAATTATAAACTAATGCTTGAGCATTCTTTTCTATTTGAAGATGTATTAAATAAAATAAATGAATATTTACTTTACTAAGAAGAGTATGTGCAACTCTTTGTGGATATTCGCTATCAGCAACAAGAACTGATGCTAAACCATCACGACGAACATAAACATGAACCATAGCTAAAATAAAAATATTCAAGATAAAACTTCGAAAACAATTCATAATATTATACCATTAACATTCTGATCAGCTTCAACAGATTGTCTTGTATCTAAAGCTGTACGTTCAGTAACTGTTCTTGCTGAAAAGACAAGCAATGGTTGAACACTGAAAGAAAATGGAATTTAATATAATATAATAAATTTCGAGAAATCAAAAATACCCCCGACGTTCGAAATAACCAAAACTATCCAGATTAAATTCATTTTGAAGTATTCTTACATTTTTATCACCTTCTTTATGTAACACAAATAAAGCTAATATTTTCATTGTTTAAATCAGTTTCCTTATTTGGCACAGAATTCTTGAAAAAGAAATAATAAAAATCTAAAAAATGTCATGATAACAAACATTTATATGATGGAAAATTCGCATATCGGACAGAATAATGATAATGGAAGAATTTATTTGAATAGAACAGAATGATGCTGACGTCGATGAAGGTTATTTTCCTGACTCATTTTTCGATGATATGGCATATACAAACCAATAAACAATTAAATTTAAGAACAGATGTCGCTGAACAACGAACAGTAAAGCAAATATTTTTTATATAAAAAACCTGTATGAATATTGAAAACTTAATGACTCACAAGCTGTTTTAGTTTGCATATGTGAATCATGGAAAAGTTAAATTTCAAAATTTATTAATCATTAATTTAGTTCAATAGACAGAAGAAATCCATTGCAATGACGATTGATCTTAGTACTATAATTATATTTTTTAATTTAGCAAAGCATATATTCCTATGTGCGCTCAAATCTCTTATAATTACATGTGCACTTTCTGATCAGATTTAAAATCATTTCTATTGAATAACGGCATTCATGTTTTTATCTTTTGACGCTATTTAAAAATTTCCTTCGCGTTTCTTTTTCTCTCTTACGACATTCATCAAGAACTATAGACGGTGCAATCAATCATACCGGGTCATCAAAGTGTAAAACTTCTGACAAATAGCATTTTACACATGAAGTATTATAATAAGATATAAAATAGCGTTCATTTCTCTAACCTCAGCTATGTATCATATTCATACATGATACTATTCACAATATTCGTCTTCAATACATTTTTAAGTCAGTCTATGTGAACTACATATTTAGAACAAAAAAAAAAAACAAATATAGTTTATATACGAAAATTGTTTACAAAATGAAACTAGAATATAAAAACAACGAATTAATATCTATTTTTTTTTCGAACCGGTTCCGAGATGTTGATTCTTATTAAAAAGAATAAGATCAGAATGTAGAGATTTATTTTTCAGTGCTTCTACTATTTTTCTTGCAACATCCGATTTCATTTTATGATATAAACGTAAATGATTTATCATTGATGGAAATGTTATTTGTTTTTTAGTACATGGTATATGCATTAATGTTGATATTGTTGACCGGGCTCCAAAAATATTTTTGGAATCTGTCAGTGGACAATCAAAATGATACTCTTGATTCTAAAAAATAGAGAAGAAAAAATAAAAATTAATTGTTTATTATTTACAAGAATTATTTCATTATCAGAAAATAATTTTGTTTCTTGTGACAATTGATCATTAATAACAGCATCTCGTAATCGAATTGCACATGTAGGTAACATTCGATGATAATATTCGAAATGTTTAGTTAAATAATATTTCATATAGGTTGATCCATCACAATCAAGACGAATATTATGTTCAGATTTAATACCAAAAACATTCGGTCGAGTTAATGGACATACATAAGTTTTACGAATATTATCTTCTATTTTACAACTATAAGAAAAAAATTAAAAAATTTTGAAATAAAATAAAAAAATTTTCGATACATTGTAATTGGTTTTTCTTCTTTTTTAACGAAAGACTTTTTTATTTCAATAGCATAGAATTTTAATTGTTCTAAATCATGTTGTTCAACATGACATTCATCTTGTTGTCTGGAAATAGTTAATTGATTTTGTTTATCGTTTAATAAATTATTTGCAGCTTCAGCAAATGTAAGACGTTTTCGAATTTCTTCTTCTTCTTCATCATACATTCGATTGATACGATCAAGTTCACGTTGACGACGCTCAATGATCTAAGTTCTATATTAGAAATAGCTTTCATCCTTAAGTGCTTACCTGTGCTGTCGCATTATTTGCTTCTTCTGTTAAATTACTTGTCGATTTATCTAGATGATCGATTAAATTGGAAAAATCATGTATAAATATATCACCATGTTCAATCAAATGTTCCAAACAAACATATTTTCTACAATGATTTTTACACATTGAGAATTTATTTGAAGAACAACCAATATGTTCACATGTCATTGTAATGAAATATATCTAAAGTAATATAATCTATTTTAATCATAAACAATAATATAACAAAAAGAAAAATGAAAATTAAAACAAAACATTTATATTTATTCTTCACATTTAGGTTTCTTTCATAATTTCTTTGATTTGTTTTACTCGAAGATGATGAACACTTTTTAAATGTATTGATAAAAATCTTTTTGTAATCATATTTGTACATGGTGTACGACGAATTCCACTTTCTGAACTTGTATTATGAAATGGACATGCTATTTTATCATTTGGATCTATAATCTTTGAATTAGAAGGAAAGATTTTTGTTAGAACTGGATCTAAATTTTCTGCTAATGCATTAACTAATTCATTTGCATAATGAGGTGTAAGATGATGATAATTACGAAAATGTTCGAATAAATGTCGAATTTGTTTTTGAGATCCACATAAACGTACATTATGTGATGCACATAAACCAAAAATATTTAAACTTGTTAAAGGACAATAAGTTGGTTTGATTTCTTTTTCTGTTTCTTGAATATCTAAATTGATAAACACTTAGTACAATCTTGACATGATGAAAATATGATACATAAAATAAGTACTATTTTAATTGCTAGATTTTATTACTATGACTATAGACTGATGAATTGTTTTTCTACTACTATCAGAATTATGAAAAAGACAGGTGATAAGAGCTCTTACACCTTTTGAATAGAGGGTCATAATAACCTACAGTTCTCGCTATTCAGGGGGAAACGTCGATGTATGAAATTGATTTCCTAAAGCACTTTTTAGGGTAGGTTTATTCCGAATGATTTTTTTCTCTCTTTTCCAGCAGAAATTGACGTACTTGTACTCAGTTTCTTAAAAACCCTCTAGCATCTTCAGAAAGTAGAAGCTTGAAGTTACTTAAATAACAATTTGAAAAGGGCACTTCGAGTTACAAAATTAGCGAAAAAAAACATTGCTCTCGGCAATTCGGTAATTTTCCTCTTATATCTATTACTAAGACTTGCCTGGAAAAGTACTTAAAGAAAATATTCTCTACACATAGGTTTGTACCTCCGACTGTCCTCTATTAAATAGTGAAAATCGCATGTCGCTATATATGTCATAACATGCAATAAAACATTAAGCATGATTAGTGATTAAGTTCGGATATCTTTAGAAATCTAGTTTTTACTCATATATTTTCATACATAATAAGAAAAAAAGAAGAAAATAAACCTGTTAGAGAATTTTTAAATTGATTTATTTTTTGTAATAAATTATTAATTTGTTGAAAATCATTGTGTATTAAGAGATTTTCATTATTTTTTATTTTAATAAGATTTTCTGATATTTCATTATATTGTTTTTGAAATTGTTGAATTTGAATTAATTGTGGATGAAATATTTCCATTTGATTTTGATGAAATTGTCGAAGATGATCAAGTTCTTCCTGTTGATTTTTCTTGATATTTTGTTTTGTTTGTTCAATTATTTTTGAAAATTCATTCGTTGGTTTAATTAAATCATCAAGTACTTGTTCAAATTCAGTTTCAAGTAATATTCGATGTTCATCTATATGTTGAAAACAAAGTGACCAATCACAATGATTCGTACAAACAGAATGCATCGAATAAGAACAATTCGGATGCTGACATGTCATCTAGAATAACAAAGTTTTATTCCTAAATAATGAAAATAAAGTTTTT